CTGGGGGCCTGGCGTCACCCTGAGGTGCTCTGGTGGAAGGGGGTTCCCCTCTAACCCCCCTGTCCCAGGGCTGTCTGAGGCTGGGGGGGGTCACAACGTCCTGGGGTCTCTGGTGGGGGGCTTCTCCCCCTGAGCCTGTTCCAGGGCTGTCTGTGGGGGGTGGCACCACCCCGGGGTGCTCTTGGTGGGATGGGGGCTCCCCCTCCGACCCCACTTTCCCCAGGGCTGTCCAGGGGGTCAGTGGCAGCCCCCTGGGGTGCCCCTGAGGGGGTTGTTGCCCCTCTGACCCCGCTGTCCCCAGGGCTGGTGGCGATGGCGGCGGGTGTGACGGACATCACCACCTACCACACCATCTTCCTGCTCACCATCCTGGGTGCCCTGGCCCTCCTCGTCCTCATCCTCCTCTGCCTCCTCATCTACTACTGCAGGTCAGCACCCCCCTGACCCTGGTGGGGGGTGGGAACAGAACACCCCCCTGCCTCCCTCCCCCGCCCGACATTCCATGTGGGAATGGGGGGTCAGCACCCACTGTAACCCCTGGGTGCCCTATAGCTGGGGGGAGCATTCTCTGGCATCCCTATGGCTGGTTATGGGGAGGGGGCACCACCCCACTGCCCTTGGGAACGGGGGGCACGACCTCCCAGCACCCATTGGTGTCCTATAGCTGGCTGTGGGGAGGGGGCACCACCCTGTGGTACCCCTCAGGTCCCCTCTAACTGGATTTGTGGAGGGGAACCGCCCTCTTGGCACTCCTGGGTGCCCTAGAGCTGGATTGGGAAGGTGGATACCAATCCCCAACACCTCTGGGTGCCCTAGAACTGGACTGGGAGGAGGGACACCAATCCTCAGCACCCCTGGATACCCTCTAGCTGGACTGGAAGCGGGGGACACCAAACCCCAACACCCCCGGGTGCCCTTTAGCTGGACTGGAAGTGGGGGACACCAAACCCCAACACCCCCGGGTGCCCTTTAGCCGGATTTGGGGGACACACAGCACTCCCCAGTACCCCACGGTGCCCTAGAGATGATTTGGGAAGGGGTACACCACTCTCCAGCACTCAGAGTGCCCTAGAGCTGGATTTGGGGGACCCCACTCCCCAGCAC